GGGTTGAAAAACTCAGTCCACCCCGCTCCGTTTTGCGGATTAGGCGAGTTGAACAGCCGAGCCCGTTTTGTACAATACTACTAATGATATTCTACCTTAAGTCCCATCAGAGTTAAATGTGGTTTCTTCAGTGAGGAAGGCATAAAAGGCGAGTCGCCTGCAAGCAATTTTCCTTATAAAGAATCAGGACAGCTAAATCTTTCGACGACATTGATGGTCATTATTGGTCCCAAATTCCCTCAGTGGTACGAGAAGTTCCGTTCATTAAGTCTTCTTCGCTTGTTCTCACCTAACTTTCCTATCAATGAACGAGAGTTATGTTCAACACCACCCTTACAACCCCCCAAACTTTGTTGTTCACTGAATAAGACATACGTGTAACATCTTTGTGCTTTTTTTTTCAATATTCAAACCCATATTCAACAAGGGAAATTTTCTTAAATTGTTTCGTATAACACACAAACAAGAATAAGTACATTCACTTTTTCTTTTTTTTCTCTTTTTTTAGTATTTTCCACCTTTTTTTTAATTACACCAGATAATTTATGTCATTTAATATGAGAAATATGAATAAATCCACATTTGAAAATTGTTAATGTTATTTTTTTATTTAAAACTATTGAAAAATATAAAATTAATAATGTGATTTCATTTAACAACTTAAAATTTTGAATTGAAATGATATTTTATATGACATCAGAGCTAACGTAATTAAGTAGTCAAGAGTTATCCTCATTTTCCCTATTTTGTATCTGTATATTATTTATCCTTCAAGTTCAGTAAACTCTTATATGAGGAGACATGTTAAAGAAATATAAAATTATTTGTATAACATCACCCAAAGAAAAAACGTGTTAAAGAAATATAAAATTTTTAGTGTAACCTCGCCTAATTGCTTAAAATTTTGTATTGAAATATTTTTTTTTTAAAACAGAAACCATGATTTACGTTGAAGAATCATTTGGTTGCTTTTCCGTTAACAAATTCAGGCTGCCTTTAGCTATTTATATGGAAAATACAAATACTTCAATTATAAAAAAAAAACATGTTAGTAGCATTTTGTATTATATCTGTGGTTCAGTCCTGAACATAGGTTTAATGGACAAATAGGGAACTGAACCACATATATAATGAAAAATGTACTAACATTATTTTATATTTTTTAACACATTTTTATTATCAGATAAACTTTTATATTCATTTTATCAACAGAAGTAAATTAAGGTTATTTAATAAAATTAATATAAAATTATATCTAATGAAAAAAAAACCCTATTAGAAATAAGTACCACTAACGTTCCTTAAAATAGCAATGACATTGCATCCAAGGTTAAAATCTAACAATTCAGGGAGAAGAGTTATTTATTCTGTGGTAGTTGGACAAATGTTATACAGGCTCAACTTTACAGCGAGAAGAGTTAATCCATTTCATAATGGCCCCACCCACACATGTTATTTATGAACAAATATTTGTATCTATTTAAATAACAAAATACCAACTTTTAAGATCTACTTAAAAAGAATGCAAATCTATTGATATTCATACAGAGCCACGTGACGCAAGTACATACAATGGGTTTATGGAAATTTTGATTTTGGCGAAGCAGATTCATGGAATTTAACAGGTAGTTTGGCTCCATGTGGCATATAATGCAAGAATTTAGGAAATGTCATTGGCAGTGGCAGGTGGGCAAGTCTCAAATTGGAAAAGAAGTCCCAAACAGGAACCCCACTCTTGGGTTCCCAACTAAATGGAAATTAATGAATTCTGATGCTTTATTTATGTTATATTTAATTATCATGTACGAAGAACGTCAATGGTTTAATTATTTCCTTGATTCTAGGTGGGGGAAAACATTGTCTTGAACTAAATTCAGTTCACAAAGCAGAAAAAGATGCTAATATTGATTTTGAGTTGATTACAACTGAGTTTTCAAATAAGCTTAGGTAGGTATTTCGGAACTTCAAACTAGAAGTTAGTTATTTGAAAAAGAGTTTCAACTGTGATGTTTAAAATCATATAGGTACGTTACGAGGTAACATTTTATAACGAGACAAGATTTATTGTACATGAATGGGGAATGATGGCCATTGATGCAAAATTTAAAAAAATAAATAAAAAATTAAAGAAGATTTATATTTTTTTGAATGAATTTAACACCGTTTTAATTCAGAATTATCATTGAAGATTTGAGGGATTTATTTGCAAATAGTATTTCACATAATAACCTTTTGTCTAAGGAGCATTTTGCAAATTTAATATGCGTAAGTTGCCTGCTGACCAAGTACTTTGGCTCCATGTGACATCCGACGCAAGAATTCAGGAAAAAGGACGCAGGATTCAGCATTCTAATAAAGCCTTTTCAGCAAAAAAAGAGGAATGTAATAATGGCACGGAAAATCCTATCATAAATTCTGCATAGTTATTTTTTTAAGGTGAAAAAGTATATTGGCGTTTAAACTAAAATAGATTAAGTTTATGAAATATTTCGTTTTTGAAATTATAATTCGTTTCAAATTAATAGTAAAACATCATTATTTATATATTTTAAAAATGGGAAAAGTGTGTGTCCTTTTAAAGGACACACATTTATATCTAAGGTTGTTCGCGGTCTGGATTGGATCGATTTTGGAAGCAAAAATTATCCGATCCAATCCCTTCGGTTTGATCATATAATCATCCATTCGGTTTTAATTTTTTTTCAAATCCGATCCGATCCAATCCAATTTTTTTCGGTTTGGATTAGATCGGTTTTCGGTTTTTTGAAAATCCTAAAATTTATTTCATGATTATTATGCAAATAACATATTTTGTATATATTGGCTTTGTAATTTATTTTTTTTAAATACAAAAGCATTAGTAAACTATAATATAATATTTTTAATTTTGGCAATGAGATATGAAGTTCTACAAAGATAAAATTTTGTTGATGAGATATGACTAGATTTTTTCTTGGGTTTAGTTGATGGGTTAATGAATCTTGGGTTTAGAAATTTTTAGGCTATGATTAGGGAAATACCCAAGTAGGTAGAGAGAAATTAATATATTTGATCGGTTTGGATTGGATCGGTTTTCATCAACCCATCCAAAAACCGATCCAATCCAATTAAAATTTACGATTTTTAATCGATTTTCGATTTTTCGGTTTTTGGTTTATTCGGTTATCGCTTTTTCGGTTCGGTCACCGCAGTTTGAATCGATTTGGATCGGTTGATGAACACCCCTATTTATATCCTTTTAAGAGAGATAAAGAAATAAATTATGGAAGACAGAGTAGAGGAAAAAATTTATAATTTCAAATTTAAAAAAATGCACTACATTCATCTAAAAGAATCATCCCAATGGTGGTAGCTCAGTTGGCGCATGGGAGCTGAGCAGGTGGGGGTGAGGGCATGTGTTCGAATCTTCCCAGTAGAACTAATCGCGAAGCGATGAACTGATGGAATATTTCCAAAAAAAAAAAATCATCCTTTTAAATGATAGACATTTTTCCCTTTAAAAATAGTTATTTTAAAAGGATTTTTTAAAATTCATTTCTTCCTTCCTTAAAACTAAAGAAATACTAAAATTACTGCGCGTGATTATAATAGAAAATAATTAAACAAAAGTTAACCTTTAAAAGTGATGATACTATTAAAAAATATGCACATGTACATCTAATAAAGTTTTTAATGACATAATTACATATTTTTCATTTTAAAAATTTGCAAAACTTTTGGGACGGGTTGTTGATCGTGTTATTTGATCACAATTACTTATTAGTGATGGGATAAGAGAAAGAAAAATGCATGATTTTTAAATTAATAATTATGATAAAATAACATGATCATATAATTATTTTTACATATGAGAGAATTTAAATACATCATATATACCATTATAACTCTTGGCTTGTTGCCTGTGGATTATTATTTTCTTGAATTATTATTATTATATTTTTGTCTTAAAGTGGTTATCTTACGTTGTTTAAATATAGCGTTAAAAGTATGTTGAAGAAAATAAATATGTCTGATATTTACATAAAAGTATGAAGCCACATGAGAAGAAAAGAGAGAAAACAAATATAAATTTTATATATTTTTTTTGTGTGAATATAAGTGAAAATTGAATACATAACCTACTACAATTTATCATGGCTATCCAAATCCTTTCACACTTTTTTATGTATGTATAAGAGATAAATTTATCTCCTATGAGAAGTAATAAACCCTTGATCCTTGTACTGAACACTAAAAATGTTTCTTACGTTATAAAAAGGTCATTAGTTTAATTCAATTATTTATTTGAAAAATTTAAGAACATGATAAAAAAAATCGATGAAAAAGAATGTTAATGGTTCAGTAAAAATGCAATAGACACTCCCAATATTCTCCACTTAATCTTTTTACGCTTTAACTCGAAAATTTGAAATATATTTTGTAAATTATGTGTATGTTGTTTTATAAGATGATTTCCAATTGTAAGTGACTATCTTATAAATTCATCCTATTGAATTTTAAAATTTATAATATAATTCATGCATATCTCATTAAAACAAAATTTATGGGGGGAAATGACATAAGAATCATACTTAGGTATGCATGACAATGTTTCCAAATATGGTTTTTTTAATTTGGGAAATAGAAATGATTAAAAATAATATTTGATAAAATTAATTTTTTTTAATTACAGAAAATGAATGGTAGCACAGAAACACAACTTGATAGAAATAAATAATAATTTTTATTTTATTTTTGTTTCATGACTCACTATTTATCAAAATGCATAGATAATAGAATGTATTATTATAATTAAATACATATTATTTATAAATACATATTTTACGAAAATAAAAATAAATTATGTTATTAAATATATCTCTTTTCCAAAAAAATAAAATAAAATAATTTCGTGCATATGTCATGCACACCCTTTGCCTCCAAAAAGCAATGAATAGAAATATAAAAGCAGAAGTAGAGCTCGTTATCAGTAGCTCTAGAACACCAGTTGAAGAAATATAATGGCATCATCCATCTTCAAAGTTTTTCTATCAACAATCATTCTTTGCACTTTCTTGAAGGAACACACTCATGCCCTTAGAAAGGCAAGCATGTTTCCAATTCCTTCTTACTCATCTCATTACGAGTTTGCATTCAAGTATCTGATATAGTTGCCACTGTCTTTCACAACTTTGAGAGTTTCCAAATTCATTTTTTGTTGTTGTTGTTGTTGGATATACAATATTTCACTAATTGTTTGCTTTTATTTCTCTGTTCTGTTACAGACCTACATTGTGTACCTGGGAGGACATACTCATGGTCCAAATCCTTTGCCTAGTGATCTTGAGTCAGCCACAAATTCCCATTATGATTTACTGGCTTCAGTCTTGGGAAGGTATAAAATCTATGAATTTCTGTTAACATAGTATGGGACACTAGAAATTGACGACTTAAGTAGGTGTGGTTTTTTAGCAGTCATGAGAAGGCCAAGGAAGCAGTTATGTACTCCTACAATAAACACATAAATGGCTTTGCTGCACTGCTTGAAGAGGAAGAGGCATCAGAGATTGCAAGTGAGCAAATTTTTTTGCCATGTCCATGATTTTCTAGTCATTTTGAAGCCACAAATTGATACCATATTTATATGTTTCTATTGGTGCAGAAAACCCAAATGTGGTTTCAGTTTTCTTGAGCAAAGAGCATAAATTGCACACTACCAGGTCATGGGACTTTCTTGGACTGGAAAAATATGGTGGAATTCCTCCAAACTCTGCTTGGCAGAAGGCAGCATTTGGCGTAAATACAATCGTGGCTAATATAGATACAGGTATGCTTCATATTATCATACAAAATCCTCTATTTGCTATTAATACAAAGAATTTGGATAACGGAACTTTAAACTAAAATTTTACAAAATCTTATGCAATTTCTTCATATACTTATGTACAATAATTTTCATTTTGTATAGAATATATAAACCACTGACTGGTTACTTCTTGAACAGGCGTTTGGCCCGAACACATGAGTTTCAACGACTATGGATACGGGCCCGTTCCATCGAGGTGGAATGGGAATGGGGTCTGTGAGATTGACCAATTTAATGGTTCAAACAAAAATTTCTGTAACAGGTCATTTTTCTGTGTAATTTCACTTAGTAAATTCTGTAACCTATTCCAATTTATAACAAATGGTTTTTTTTTTTTAAAGGAACGTTAAATGAAATAGATTTTAGAGATATATAAATTTTTAATTATTTTTATGCAATTTTTAAATATTAATAGAAAAGTTAATGCAAAAATAAAAATAAAAATAAAAATGGGATGCTTGTATGTACATTAGCAAGAAAAAAAAAAGAGAGAGAGAAAAGGAGTTCCAATTGTTTATTTAACACGTAATAAAATAATATGAGTTTGTGTAATTAGTAAAAGTTTATAAATTCAGACATCTCTATGATCATATCATTACTCAAAAAATATGAAAAGAATTGAAATTTCTCCCCGATGATGTTTTCACTTTACACGGTTTATGATTCTTTATGGTTACTTCAAACTATTGGAATCTTGGAAAATAATAATTATTTTTATGATAAAATATTAAAATTAAATTTGTTCAATAAAATTATTAATTATAAAATGATAAACAGCACATGGTGCAGTTCGTTTAAAAATTCACAGGATCTATGAGCTAGCTACTTGTGTTTTTTATGCATGTGAGTCTCACTCACATCTTCCTTTTATATATATATATATATATATAGGGTTTTATAAGAATTATGTTGTAGGAAAAGTGATTGTGTTATGTTATAGAGATTCGTTTTGCGTGCCGAAGTTTTTTTTTTTTTTTGCTGTGGGTCCCACAAAATGTTGTGTGTGTAGGAAACTTTTTGTGGTCATGTTAAATGATAGATGATAAACCCATATATATATATATATATATATATATATATATATATATATATAATCATGAAAATTGTAGGCATAGTTCATAATTTTGGGAAATTTGAGTTTTGAAAATCGTGAACCAACATGAACAAATAATTTTAGGAAGCTGATTGGAGCAAGAATCTTCAGCAAAAATTACGAGGCACAATTTGGCAAACTTGATCCATTGAACCTTACTGCACGTGACTTTGTTGGCCATGGTACCCATACCCTGTCAACTGCTGCTGGTAATTTTGCTCCTGGTGCTACTATCTTCGGTAATGGAAATGGCACTGCAAAGGGTGGATCCCCAAGAGCTCGTGTTGCAACCTACAAAGTTTGCTGGTCTACACTTGATGCTGGTGGCTGTCATGAAGCTGACATTTTACAAGCATTTGATTATGCCATTTATGATGGTGTTGATGTCATCTCAGCCTCTGTGGGTGGTTCTACTCCCTATGCTGAAGCTTTGTTCACAGATGGCATTTCCATTGGGGCATTCCATGCAGTTGCTAGAAATATAGTGGTTGTTTGCTCAGCTGGGAATGATGGGCCAGCACCTAGAACTGTCTTAAATGTTGCACCTTGGTCCTTCACTGTTGCTGCTAGTACAATAGACAGGGATTTTCTCACCAACATTTCTTTTGGTAACAAGCATTACCTAAAGGTATGTATATCGTGTTTCTTTTATAACTAGAAAATTAATTTTTATATCAACTTATTTAATTGGACTGCATGTATGTATATATATATATATATACCAGGGAGCTAGTCTTAATAGAGGCTTACCATCACGGAAATCTTATCCATTGATTCATTCTGTCGATGCTAAACTTCCTAATGCCACAATTCAAGATGCGTAAGCACAAATTCACCAAACTTGCTTCAAATATTTACTGTGTTTTTGTTTTTATATACATTTATATGTGTTACTGCAGTCGTATTTGCAAGCCTGGAACACTTGATCCTACCAAAGTAAAGGGACAAATATTAATCTGCATTCGAGGTGACAAAACATCATCAGTTGCTGAGGGCCAAGAAGCTGCTCGTGCAGGCGCAGTGGGAGTATTTGTGATCAATGATGAGCAAAGTGGAAATACACTCCCAGCTGAGCCTCATATTATACCCGGTGCAAGTTTGGATGTCTATCAGGATGAAAATGCTGATGAAGGTGAATGGTTAAGAAAAGGAGGTTCCGACAAAAACAATAGCAGGTAATCATAGATCATTGGTCCCTTCAAATGTTACATTAGAGAAAGACTTAGAACTTCAATATTCATAAATATACTGCAGGAAACTTGCAGCTTTCATGCCTGCAGCAAGAACATATATAGGAATAAAGCCAGCTCCAACTGTGGCTGGATTCTCATCCAGGGGTCCCAGTGCCGTGCAACCATTGATACTCAAGGTCAATGCTTTGTTTCATTATCATGTGAAAATTGAGATTTTTTCAATCTTACATTCAATGAGTACTCCTCCATCCATTTTTCGTTTACAGTGCTTTTGTTTTTTGTTTCAGCCTGACATAACTGGTCCTGGTGTGAACATACTAGCTGCTTATTCACTAGCCACAGGTCCATCTAATCTGCCATCAGATACACGCAGGGTTCCTTTCAATGTGCAACAGGGAACTTCTATGTCTTGCCCTCATGTTGCTGGGGTGGCTGGTCTTCTCAAAACACTTCATCCTGATTGGAGTCCAGCAGCTATCAAATCAGCCATTATGACTACTGGTATGTTGCCAAAATTACAATACAAAGCAACATATATATGCACAATATGCAGTAATAGTATTAAAAGACATTAAAAGAAAAAACAAGATAATGAAGGTAGTCACTACAAGTATATATCTTCAGTCTTATTTTAGTAGTAACATCTACCCGAAATTCAAAAACCAAAGCAATATGTTCACATGCATGTTTAACAAGATGCTTTGTCCTATATATATAAAATGTTCATATGCCACATATATTTAGGAAAAGCATTGGTGACTTATTAAAAACTGTGGTCATAATTCCAGCTACAACACTAGATAACACGAATCGGCCTATTCGGGACGCATTTGATCGAATAGCAACTCCATTCGAATACGGCGCAGGACATATTCAGCCTAACCTTGCAATGGATCCTGGACTTGTTTATGATTTAAGCACAACTGATTACTTGAACTTTTTATGTGCTTCTGGTTCTACTCAAGCTTTACTCAAGTTGAAATTCTCTTACACTTGTCCTAAGTCCTACAACATTGAAGATCTCAATTATCCTTCAATAACAGTAACTAATCGCGGGATAAATCCTATCAATGTAACTCGTACAGTTACAAACGTTGGGCCTCCAAGTACATATGTTGTGAAAACTCACGTAATTGAAGGATTTAAGGTTCTGGTTCAACCTAGTTCATTGACTTTTAAGACAATTGGAGAAAAGAAGACCTTTCATGTTATTCTGCAAGCAACGGGTGTGCCTAGTTATGGTTTTCCAATATTTGGGAACTTGTCTTGGACAGATGGGAAGCACGGAGTAACCAGTCCTATTGTAGTCCTGTAACTTCAGAAATTACTCAGAGGAATGTTATGTTATGATAACCATTTGACTATGTGTTTGTGTTTGTTGTTATCATGCTATAATGATAATAATGTGCTTTTTACCATTGGAATGTCGCAGTAATGAACTTTGTTCCATTGGAGCTACATACTGTATTAGGCACATCAATCATGTATGGAACTCATGCAAGATCCTTCTAAATAATATTAATTAATATTACGCCCTACATTGCCTTTACCTCTTTCTACTTTTTCTTTCATCTCCTTCAATAACCAATTGTACAATGTTCTGTACCCTAAACTCCTAATTTAGTTTTGTTGTGATTTAGTTGCTTTTATATTGTCATCTTGCAAGTATCATTTTTCAAAACTACAGGAAGTGCAGTGGTATTGCTTTCAGTTACAGTGATTTTTACGATCTACCAACATGGACCTTCTAAGAATTCCCCTTTATTAGAAACAAACCTAAACATTACTACTATCACAGCTGGTCACTCTCTACTGTATATAAATTGTTCGATCACAATAGCCTAACAGTGATTCAGCGCATCTTTGTGAAGTATTTTGCAGGGACTGCAATCTTTATTTTGCAGATCTTAACCTTCTTCTCGCCAATGATAGTTAAAAAATTATAATAAAAAAACAAAAAAAAAGAATTGCACATTCTGGTTTAGAGATCTAGGCTCACGGAGACATATTTTTGGCAATTGATATGGTTACGAAGGTTAATCCTTGATTAACGCACCATAATCAATTGAAGTAATCTGTATGTAATTTTGTCCTAAGATAAAGAAACAAGGGTAAAAGGGGCAATTTATAATCAACAAATACGATTATTCGTTCACAATCACCCAAATTAACATCCCAGAGTATTCGTTTTTTTTTCCTCCTCACTTCTGGTCTACAGTTAGCAAATTGGTTTAATCTTATTGACTGAGTTTGAGATAATAATCACAATATATTCCAACGATGGAATATTTAAAAAAAGATTAGACTCATTGAATTTAATTCTAACAGCATTACAACTACATTGAAGTTAAGAAAGCAAATTGAAGAGGTTGAACAAAGATTTGGTTTGAAAATAAAAATTTTGGAAATAGATTTTCGAAAAAAGAAAGAATGAAGCCTCAGTTAGGTTATGCGAAAAATGTACATCACACGCCGTACAAACAATTTGCTTTCAGACGGCACTTGCTAAGAATCAATCATCATTGGCTTCAGTAAATCAATATTCATATAAAACAAAGAAGAAGAAAGAAAGGTATAACTATCATTTTTCAAAATGTAATCGAAGAAATAGTTTAGGCAAGAGAAATTTACAAAAGAATGAGATCAAGCACAAATGGGGGGTTATTTTACCCTGAGGTCGAACAAGGTGCAGAAACTGTGCTCCTCATCAACGGTTGAGACCTACCATACGACGCCGTAAGAAAGATGTCTCCCTTTTCGCTGCGACGATACAAGGGATAGGAAGACAGTTTATATAGTCAGTCAGAAAAACCCTATCTCCCTCTATTAACCTTATAATTTTTTATTTATTTATAGACGCGGGATATATTATTATGTTTAATTTCTTTTTCATATTTATATAATTTATTTTTCTCCAGTTAGATCACAATGCTTTCATCATTTTTCTCTGCTTTATTGTGATCTAACGGTGAAAAAGAGTAATAGTTTTTCTAAAATTTCTTTGAAATCATTATATTAACTTTTGATATTTTTTTACACCCACACAAAAAAAACTTACGATGTTCTTTTAATTAGCATTGAAATTGATTAAAAAAATAGTTTCCACTAAACTTCAATTCTTAATGAAAATTTGAGGAAAATGTGTATAATTTCAAAGGATATAAAATTATGTCATTTTAAGTGAAAGAAAAATATAAATTATGAAAGAAAGAGAGTGGACAAAAAATAAAATAAAAGTGTGAGTTTCACTCCTCTATGAAAGTGAAATGACATATCGTTTAAATGGATACACACTTTTTCCTAAAAATTTACCTTCCCCCAACGTACCTCAATTGATGGGTAAGTGACCGTACTGTCACATCTGGAAAAAAAATATTACCACAATGTCACGTCAACAGTATATTTTGGCAAAATGCCACGTGTACTATTTTGCTATAGAGCGTAGCTAAATACGTGTGCAAATATTTCACTGAGAGGTGTAGCGAAATACGTCACGTCAGAAGGAACTGCACACGTGTCAATCAGGGAGTATTTCGCTACACTGTGTAGCGAAATAAAAGTCAACGGTCACCTGCTCCTCTAACCATGACGGACACGTGCCGCGCAGACAATATTTCGTTACACTTTGTAGCGAAATACGTGTAACGAGAACCTGCTCCTCTGAGCATGATGGACACGTGTCATGCATGCACAAATTCGCTGCACTGTGTAGCGAATTTAGTGCATTTCCCTGCCTATAAAAACTCCTCGTTCCCTATCCCCTCCCCCACCACTCTCCTTCCCTCTCCCCTCCCCCACCACTCTCCCTCACTCCCTCTCTCTCTAAGTGACTTCTCTCTCTTCAAGGTTCGTTTTTTTTTATTTAATTTATGTTGCTTTATTAAGTTAGTTAATTTGTTATTTTATGCTTTATTTAATGTGTTATTTTATTTAATGGTAATATTTGAAACATTAGGTTAGTTAATGTGTTATTTTATTTAATGTTAATATTTTTTTTGATAATAATAATGTTAATATTTTTAACATTAGGTTATTTAATGTTAATATTTGAAACATTAGGTTAGTTAATGTATTAATTTTAATTAATGCATAATTAGTTGGTTGTATTGTATGTAATTTGTGACTTATAGTTTAAAATATTTGTAATATTATTTAATGTTGATAATTGAAACCTTAGGTTAGTAAAATTGTTATATTTTTTGACGCTTAAATGTGTAGTAGGTCTATTAATGTAATATTTTATTATGCCTTAATAATTTTATAATATTATTTAATGTTAGTAATTGATACATCAAGTTAGGGGTGATATAAATTTATTTCTTACATAAAAGGTTAGTTCTAATTCATTTATAACTTAATTTTTATTTATGCTTTAATTATATTTGAAAATTATTTAACGTTTAGTACTGAAACCTTAGGTTAGTTATAAAATTATTTAACGCTTAAATGTGTTAATTTATTTAATGTTGATATTTGAAACATTAGGTTAGTTAATGTATTAATTTTAATTCATGCATAATTGGTTAGTCTCATTGTATGTCATTTGCTACTAATATTGTGTAGGGTTAATAATTTTATATTTTATGGTACGAAATTAATTAGTATTAAGTAATGCGAAAATTTGTAAATTATTAATTGATATGTAATTTGCATTTATTAAATTATTTATGCTATCTTAGTTTTTAGAACATTCGCTAATATTAATTACTTATCCAGATACATAGATCTATGGACCACGATGATGCACATCGACCGGGGTCTCCACGTAGCGTGATTGACCCTGGGCCGGAAGACAAGAGTCTTTTGACTTTACAGGATAAGCTTGTGTCGACACATGTGTGGAATACATGTGAGAATCCAAATGCTAAGGATTGTGTGCTGAATGTGCGACATGCTGCGACACATAATCACGATGACATCCCGGAGGACATTAGGCCATGGCTTATGCAGGCAGGGTTCTACCATGTTGCGCGCTTGCGCAATCATGAGGTTAGTACGCATTTTTTGTATCACCTTGTAAATGAGTTTTGTGATAATAATGTCTTTCTATTTCTTACATGAATATTAATTTTATGACTACAGATCGACCATCACCTTGTGTCAGCGCTTGTGGAGCGATGGCGCCCTGAGACACGGACATTCCATATGACTATGGGTGAGGTCACCATCACCCTAGAGGATGTTCATCATCTACTAGGATTACCCACAGAGGGCGAGGTTGTGTCGGGACGCCATGGACGTGGTATGCCTGTGGTGGAGCCCAACCAACATCAACATTGTTCACTGCAGACAAAATGCCCGGATGACGATCAGAAATTAGACAAATTCCATTTTTCTGCGTGACATGTGTTTGAATAAGTGATAAGAACCACGACCAGTTGTCAGTATTTTACCCAGAACAAATAGTGAAAGCAATTGGAAGAACGTAATTGTTTCCATCAACTGTTATAGCAATCATGAGGGTACCCCGATATTTGCCATATAAGTGGGTACCTTGATTAGGAGGATTGGCTTGCAATAATTGAAAGCATCACAACATTGTTTAAATGTCCAAAAAACCCTTTTGAACACCTTGTGACCTTGGTCTAGGCATCCATCAATGAAATGGTCACGCAAATCCAACTTATAGGCAGATCCTGGAGAAAAATGCAACATGTAATCCAACCATCTAGGTAGGAACGCATATGACTCATCCTAATCACCAAAGACTTGTACAATAGCCTTTTGCTTTGCCTTCCAAGCCTTCCTATAAGATATATGGTAGCCACAAGTGGCTGCTATCCTTTCTTGGATTAGCCCAATTTTGACACTGGGCTCCTCTCTTATCATTTCTGTATGTGGTCAAACAATATTAGTATTAGTACATAGTGGAAAAAAATATTAAAAACGACAGGCTGATACAATTATACGCACCTAAGATCAATGAACATATGAGATTTGAGCTCAACTGTTTGTGATCTTGGGTAAGACTCTGACTAACACATGTGTGTTCGTTGTTCCAGATGCCTATAACATATTCACTGCCACCCTTTTTTTAGTATGCCCTCATTCTCCATGGACAACTGGCGTTATGATTTTCACAAACCATTATCAATCTTTTCGTATCACTTTTGTCTACAACTGTTGTGCGATGCTTAGCCGTACAATAATGTTTGATTGCCATCTGTACATCTTGCTTAGTGTCAAACATTTGATCCTTATATAGCTCGTGGCCCATCTCCCAGTTCGGTATTTGTGCTCCCTGCATGTCATCCAACTCTTGATCTGGGTATTCCCAATTAACATTTGTGAAATGGGGTATTCCCGCCCCAAAGGGTACATTTTCAGATCCTGCATAATAACATAACATTCACCCTTCTTGTGTAGTTTAATATAATTTTCAACAACAATAATATAGCATTAATACATACGTACCAGCAACTGGCGGGCCATGCGTTTCGACAATGCCTGGAGATGGAATTGGTTGACCAACTGCAGTAGACGGACAATGATCAAAATCACCATCGACATCCGTATCTGATGATTCGTTGTCAGGAACTAGACCTTCGTCAACCTCTTCTTCGGAACTATTCGTACGCCACGATTGATCCCACATGTCGTGGGCCGGCACGATTTCATCACAAATTTGCTGAGTTGGTGGTGCAAGCAGGGGTGACGCATCCACATCTTCCGGATTGACCACTGGCTCCATGTTTGTTCCGATGGAATCAGTGGATGGTGCAGAATTTGATTGCTTGATTGTCCACTGTAGTTGACTTCTGCATATAGTTCAATCAACCTTGACCGCCCAGATTCGAAAGTGCTTGCATCTATCACTAACGCTACATCTTCATCTTCAACAATTTCCACACCAACCCACTGCACGGGGTTACCCGACACACATCTAGCAGTCAATCGAGCTAAAGTTTCACCGCGTTGTAATCTCAACTTCTTGTATATTATTTTCTTCAACTCATGAAGATTGCACGTGGGGGTCATGCGAAATATTTTTGCATCACCTTCAAAAACTTGACTGTTTGCTCCCATATATTTTCTCCCATTATAATAAACGGTGGCGATTAAGTTATTCCTACTCTCACTCATTGTACAAAAGAAGAAAGAAAAACAAACATTCAAGCAAATAACACAAAAGTAGTAAAAAGGTGTATATAATGGCTGTTTTTCGCACTTGGTGGTTCATACCAAAAATGGAATGGCCGTGTGATTTATAGTACATAATTCACTAGGTGAACTAGCAAATTATGACATAATTCGCTAGGCCCCCCAGCGAATTAGTGGAGAGATGACACTTGGCTTTGGCGTGTCAGAAAAGTCCATATTTCGCTATGTGTCATTGCCAAATCCGGAAATAATTCGCTATGTACCCTAGCGAATTAATTGGGGTATTGACACGTGGCCTAACAGACTTGACATGACTGACTCTTTGACCACGTATTTCGCTACACTGTGTAGTGAAATACTCTCTGCTTGACACGTGTCCTGACATGGACTTGACATGACTGACTCTTTGACCACATATTTTGCTACACAGAGTAGCGAAATACTCCCTGATTGACACGTATCATTCTTGGTGATAGGGCATTCTGACGTGGTATATTTTGCTACTCCCTGTAGCGGAATATTTGCACACATATTTCGCTACACTGTGTAGCGAAATAGTCCACGTGGCATTTTGGCAAAGTGTACTGTTGGCGTGGCATTATGGTAAAAAAATTTGCCAAATGTGGCAGTACGGTCACTGTTCCTCAGTTGATACTTGATACTCACTCAAGTAGTCTAGTATTTGCGTTATTTCAATCTTTTAAGGATTTTAGGTATAGTGAAATATGTTGCTATTCATTGTTTTAAAAATTTATTTAAAATAACTATATTAATTTTAGAAAATCTTACATAAAAAAAAAACTTACGTTATACTTTTAAATGGCACTGAAATTGATTGAAAAAGGCTTCACTTAAATTTCAATATTTTAAAATAATACTTCTCATTCGCCACCCAGCTTGGTAGTTCAATTGATTAGGGGTGGCAATTTGGGTTGACCCGCTCCGCCACCAACCCGTCAAAAATGGGGTGGGGCGGGTTGATGCGTCAAAAAATATGGGTTGGAAAAATAAATCCACCCCATTTTATGGTGGGTTGGCGGGTCAACCCACCAACCCGCCAGTTAAAAAAAATTAATTAAAATTCTAAAATAAATTATATTTTATGAATTTTTTTAATTTTATTTTATTTTATTTCACACTTCTCTATATTTTTTTAGTCTCAATCTTAAATGTATACTAATATTTGTCAAACATTCTTTAGGAATTTATATATAGATAACATTTATCATAAATAAAATTGTTATTCTTTATTTTTTCTAGGAAGTACTAAGATAAAAAAAAAAATTGGATATCACAAAAATTGAAGGACTAAAGAAATACTACCTAATTGTAAAAAAAAAAAATTATAACCCGGCGGATCAACCCGGGCCGCGGCGGGTTGAACTCGTTTTTACCCACTTCTAGGCGGGGCAGGTTGAGGTGGGTTGGTGGATTACAAACCTCAACCCAACCCGCCCCATTTTGGCAGGTTGACGGGTTGACCCGCCGAACTCAACTCATATTGCCACCTCTACAATTGATACCGGTTTAAATCTTTAACAATTTGATGTGATAATGATGTCAAGTGTTTAATCTTTATAACAATATCATCTTTGAATACAAGCCAAAAAAGATCATCCTTTAAAAATGGGAGTATAGATTTTTTTTTTTAAAAAAAACAAAATCTTTTAAATTGAGAATTAATAGGGTATGCGTTTGTGTGTATGTATACAAGTTAACAATTTTTTTTACTAATAATTAGTTTTATTCACCTAAATAATTTTTAGACTTTAATGTTTCTAAAGTGAATGTAAATAAGTTATTTACATTCGCTCTCAAAACGACGTCGTTTTAGATTGAAAAATTAAAAAATCATAATAAAAAAGACTATTATAACCCTGAAATAAATTATAATTAAAAAAATACATTGATTTTCGCCTCAAAACGACGTCATTTTGGATTCACTGTAGATAAGTTATTTACGTTGACGATAGAAAAAGCGAACCCTAACTTTTATTGGCAGAATCTTTTATTTGCAATAGTACTCAAGTGGGTAATTTCAAAAACATACTTACCGATATAATAACTTAAAAAAATTCATAAAAAATATGTTCCAAAAGACTAATATTTATATACAATACTTGTCATCTTATCAAAATATCCTTACCTAATAAAAAGCAATTACTGGCCTCCCCTTAAGATTACACTGTACTTGTTCAACCAAAAAAGAGAGTCCTGGTCTTACTAAAAGACATAAGCTGCTTCGCAATTATTTCCTAGGCATTTTTAAAGCCCAAAATTTAACTGATAAAAGACGACGTAACCAAACAAAGTTTACAAAAGACGACAAAAAGGAATAAAAACCTTGCAACACACAAGAAAACCAGGTTCATGTATTTAGTAGTTGTCCAAGGGTGATCATGGAGAACGATTCCTCTAAAGGTGATTTTGGCATCACAAACTCATTATAAACTTCTTCCATGGTTGGACGAACACGCGGATCCTCATTTAAGCAAGCAAATGCTATTTTTGCAATCAAGATAACCTCCTCAACATCTGGCTTCACCGGATGAGGAAGTCGTGGCTCCAACACATCCTTCAATAGCAAATTAGATGCTACTGACTTCGCAGCGGATGATGAAAACAGTGAAGATATGAGATTTCCTGGATGCTCTCCCATTATTATTTCCAAAGAAAGCACACCAAAACTAAAGACATCACACTTCTCATTCACTTCCATGGTGTAAGCAAGCTCTGTAACACATTACAATATGAAAAAAGATATAATTAAAGTAGCACAGTAAACAAGTATAGGATTTCTCAAGAACAAAAAGAAGGGTCTGATCATGACCTGGTGCACAATACCCGTAAGTGCCCGCAAACGAGGTTAAATTGTGTGAATCAGGATTCAGAATCTTAGCTGTTCCAAAGTCAGAGATGCGAGCTTCATATTCCAAATTTAAAAGAATATTCTTGCTTGATATGTCACGATGAACTATAGGAGGGGAGCAACCGTGATGCATATGGTATAGAGCATTTGCCACCCCTTTAACAACATTCACCCTCCTATTCCAATCAAACATTGTTGCATGTGTATCATTTTTTAGTACTTTATCCAAGCTACCCCCTTCCATGAACTCATACACCAGAAATGAGAAACGTGGATGTGTACAGAATCCACATAACTTCACAATGTTACGATGTTTGATTTCTGTCAAGGCTCGAACTTCAGATGTGAAAGTTTTAAGATCGAGCATTTCCCCGTTGAGTGTAGCATGAAGTTTCTTCACAGCAACAACCTGTCCATTGGGTAATTTAGCCTTGTAAACAGATGCAGACCCTCCTTCTCCAATGAGATATTTGTCATCAAACTCTTCTGTGGCTTCAATGATATTTTCATACGCCATTTTTCCATCATAACTCCATATGGAAAAATGATCTTGAGTTTGTTCTTCTTTAGCTTCCTGTTTGGTTTTTCTTGCTCTTTGACAATGAATACAAAATGCAACTCCAACCAAGAACACTACTACCAATAGAACACCCAAAGTAATCAATAGTGCCCATCTCATGACTCTTCTTTTCTTTTGACCATGAGATCGGCAAGGCACCAAGCCGGATGCATTACCACACAAGCCTTTATTATTTTTCAATGATTCAATTGGAGCTTTGGTAAATGCTGGAATTGGACCCTCTAATTGGTTGTAGGATAGGTCAATATATGTCAAGCTCAACATATCTTTAAAATCAGATGGAATTGTGCCTGAGAGATTATTGTGCGAGAGGTTCAGCTCTTCCAATCTTTGCAACTTTCCAAACGTAGCTGCTGGTATTTGTCCATTCAACAAATTCACACTGAGGTCGAGATTTTCAAGAGATTGCAGTTGCCCAAATTCAGAGGGAATGCTTTCTATGAATTCATTCTTGCTCAAATTCAAAGTCGATAAAATGTGCAACCCTCCGAGCTCTTTTGGGATTGGGCCACTTAAATTATTTGCTGCCAGCTCCAAAAATCTAAGTTTCGTCATAGATCCTATTTCTATGGGAATGTTGCCTGAAAGTTCATTGTTACTTAAGGAGAGTTGAAACAATGAGGTCAAGCTACAAAGTTCTTTTGGAATTTTCCCTGTTAGATGATTTGAAGACAGATTAAGCACTTCTAAATTGGGAGCCTGGCCGAGTTCTGGTGGGATGCCACCGGATAAATTGTTGTTAGAAATCCTAAGGCTTGTGAGACTAGAGCAATTTGCCCAATTTGGTGAAAGGTGACCGTAAAAATTATTGCTACTCAACTCAACGAAAGACAAATTTGGATACACACCAAAATCATCGGATATATTTCCAGTCAACATGTTTCCCGAAAGGTTGAGCCTAAAAAGGCTGGAGCAATTCTTCAAGCTTCTTGGAACTGGACCGGTGAAATAATTACGGTTAGCAGCAAATTTTAAAAGTGACCCTCCAAGGCAAATCTCTTGAGGCAAAGGACCGTTGAAACTATTGGTAGATAGTTGTAAGTTTTGGAAATTGGTAAAGTTATTCAGTGCTGGTGGTAATCTACCATGAAGTTTGTTCTGATACACTATTAAGAAGGCAAGCTTTGTCAAATTTCCAAAGGTGGAGGGAATAAGTCCAGAAATATGGTTCCCTGAAAGGTCAAGTGCTATTAGATTTACCAAGTTTCCCATGGAGGTAGGAATTGATCCAGAAATTGAGTTCTGGCCCATGTGCAAATAGGTCAGTTTAGTCATGTTTCCAATAGTGGGAGGAATTGATCCATAAACTGTATTATTAGGAAATTCAAACTTAATCAAATTGAACAAATCTCCTATGGAGGGTGGGATTGGCCCAGACAAGTTATTGTTGGACAACACAACTGTTGTTAGAGCAGAGAGTTTTCCCAATTCCTCAGGAATGGGGCCAGAGAGACTGTTGTTATAGAGACAAAGTAGTTCTAAATTTCTCAAGCTACTAATTGAAGGGATTGTACCCAAGAGAGAATTATCTGACAAGTCAAGTCGAATGAGATTTGTCAACATTCCAATTGTTGGGGGAATGGAACCAGAAAGTTTATTTGATCCCATTCTCAATTGAGAAATTCGGGACAAGTTACCAATTTGTTGGGGAATAGTTCCATTAAGAGAGTTGTTACTAATATCCAGAATGAGCAGTTTAGGAAAGGATGAGAATTTGAGACTGAGAAGAGTACCTTTAAGACCAGAATTTGAAACATCTATAGTGGTGACAGACTCGGATTCGTCACAAACAATTCCTTCCCACTTCTTACAAGGACTGACACCAGAGGTCCAAGAAGACAGAGAAGCTTGGCTTTGGTTGTCAAGGCTAGCTTTCCATTCTAATAGAGCACTTGCTTCACTGTCTTGATTTTCTGCAGCTTCATAAGCAGCAGTAATGCTAGCAGAGGCAAAAGAAGGAAAAGTGAAAACGTTAGAAACATGGGAAAAATACAAGAGCCTTAAAAGTGAATAGAACAACGTTATGAGAATCAGTCGAGAGGATGTAAGCTGAGCGGACACCATGTTTGAGGTTTTGAATGCTTAATGTTTAGTACTAGACCGACGTCTCAGCTATTTATAAAAAAACGCAATAGTTTGTTTGCTGCATAGTACAGGATAACGTCGAATAGTATAAGATCTAATTATATAAGATCTGATTAAATTTTTAAATATTATTCAGTATTTGGTATGATATTGTATAAAGATAATATCTTCCAATATTTTAAAAATTAATATATTAAAAAAAATTATTTTAATATATAAATATTAAAATGATATATTAGTTCTTGAAAATTATACTTGTAAGCAATATTAATACATCAGCCTCTTATCAGGCCTAATCCACCACTTCTAGACTGGATTAAGTTTATAAAGAGATCCTGCTGTATAAGCTTATACTATACGATGGTCACACCAACAACTGAAAATATCATAATGTATAATATAAACTTATACTATCAACTCTTATACATTACACCAAAAATGTCCTAATGCTAATCATGTTAGATGTTAACAATTATGGGCAATAAAAAAATAAAAAATAAAAAAGTGAATGGATTGACCCCAAAAAGTTTTTACGGTCGTCATTTACTAATACCACTATGGTTGGCACTTTCCATATTGTGATAGCAATAATGATATATCTACATATTGTGACAAGTGATGACCTTACAGGTCTGCTTGCTTCGTCGCGTAGTGTGACCTTGTCACAGTCCCAGTTTTAGTAGGGTCCATTGCTTTAGGACCTTTATGCAAAGAAACATGCATAGGCGGACCCGGGGGCATGACCCCCTTAAAATTGTGATGGTTGTTATCGCAAATCTCACATCTCTTCTTTTTTTTGCTTATAATTTAGTCTCACTAATGTTTATGTATGTGGCTGTCATGGGCAAATCCAACTAAAAAAAAATGGTACTTTCTAAAGTTCTAAAAGAGGATATATAACGAATGGGGCTCTTAAGCCCAATATAAGTTGTGTATTAGAATAATCAATCATTTGTTTTCATATTTGTAAAACAACTATCTTGTATGTTATTATTTCAATAAATATTTTTAATTTTTTAGGATAATCAATTGCTCGCGTAATTCTGTGACCAGTTGTATCCAAATTTTGTAGATATAATATTAAAAATACCTATTTGTAATTCTATTTAAGGTTAAATATTTATTTACATCTTTGTCACATCATGCCCTACACTACAACACTCAGGTCATCTCTATGTGGGATAACTGGATAAGTAAGCCCATGCTATCTCTTCGATAAAAAGTGGGGAATAAAAAATAAAAATGCAAATGACGCTGTTTTGAGCTGTGTTTTAAAACTCGACTCGGACCGGCCGAGTCGATCCGGGACTCGGTGACCTGGTGGATTCTTCGGTCCGAACGGGTAGTTGAACAGCTTCTGCAGTCAACCCGGATTGGACCGGTTGACCCGATCAAAACCCGGCGACCCGGGTTAGACCGGTTATTCCTTATTTTTTTTGGTAATTTTTTTTGTCGATAAAACCTCTTGAATTAAATTGTATTCATATTTTATGATGAATATGATTAAAAGTAAGGTGAAAATAATAAGGTATTTTAAATTAGTGCAGTTCGTTTATGTAATTTAGTTGCATCTTATAATGATCTCATGAAGTTAAGTGGTGATAAACATTGATGGTCTCATGATCTCATTTTAACGTTGGACACTTTTTTAGTGTATATTTCATTCATACTATTTGTTATCATGATAACGGTGACACTTTTTTCTTAGTGTATATTTCATGCATACTATTTGTTATCATGATTTAATTTATCCGTATCATGTCAAGCACAAAAGGTGCATTTAACTTATATTACAATTTTAATCCAATATTAGGATATGGTCTAGAACTAGAAACTTAAAAGTATATAATATTTGCTATCATTGAAAATTTATTTATTTTTTGAAGCTCATGGCATAGTTTCCTTATGTGAATTTTTATTAATATAAGTAATATTTTTATATTTTTAATATGTGAACAATAAATCCTGTTCAACCCGGTTGAACCAATGACCCAGTACTTCGACCGATTCGATAACTGGTCCGAATTTTAAAACACTGGTTTCGAGTGATATGCTGACATGTGACATCAAGTAGTCACCAAATCAAAAAAAAAATGTAACCAAAACGTGATAATGATAATTTACAAAATTAAGAGTTGAGAGATTAGTTTCATAACAGAAGTATAATTATAGTTTAAAATTTTAATTCCAATTTTAATTATGTCATGGTTAGAACTTAGAATCAATTCTGAATCATAAAGGTGTGCATGACAATCATACGAGGATTTATTTATTTTTAATTTATGTTCCTGCGAACAGAAACAGATAGAAACAGCGTTTAGTAAAATTGATTTATTTATTTTTTATTTCGGGATGAATCAATTTAATTTTTACGCTAGAAAGAAACAATTTTTTTTGCTTATCCATTCCAAGACACAAAAAGAGAAATACTTTACTATTTTTCTTCTTTTTTTCATTCGTTACTATCAACTCTTTTTCATTAAAAAAAACCAAGCCTAATGCTACTTTCTCCTTTGAAACTTATGCCTTTTATAAGTTTTTTTCTCTCCTCCTTTCTTCCCCTTTTTTTCTCCTTTACTTTTTTCTTCTAACATTCCTCTCCTTCATTCTTCTCTTTTCCTTTTTTTTGAAATATTTTATTCGGTTCATCGCTTCGTTAGCGGGTCTAGGATTAAGACTTTAAACCCCTTTCAAAGAGTGATAGTGAAAAGAATCAAACACATGTTCTTACTTATCTCCTCATCTATCATGCACTAGCTAAACTACCATTATTTGATTTCATTCTTCTCTTCTTCCTTAGTGTAGTAGCCTCTAAAGCACGGACTCATGTTTTTTTTTTAATTTGCTTGTTGGACATGTGTCCGACACGGACACGTGTCCGACACGAACACATTTCGATACGTTCCGACATACGGTCAATATTTTGAGACACGTGGTCAACTCTTCGACACGTTTTTCCGACACGCAGTCAACTTTTTTCGACACGTGGTCAATGCTCTGACACGTTTTTTTTAGTCTTAATTTTATTTTATTAATTAAAAATAAAAAAAATCATTTATAAATCAATTTTTTTCTGTTATGAAATTTGACATAAAAAATTAACAAGGTATGATTTTTTTTTTATTTATGTTATGAAATTTGAATATTTGACTGGTTATATGTATTAAATATAAATTATATTATATATATTGAAAATATTATTTAATATCAAAATGTGTCCAACGTGTCAGAAAATGCCATTTTTTAGAATTAACGTGTCAGCGTGTCGTGTCGTGTCTCGTATCAGTGTCTGTGCATCGTAGGTAGTAGCTTTTCTATTTTGTTGTTCTCTATTTCTATTTCGTTCTTCTCCACTGTTATTGTTTATAGCTTTGCTTCATTTTTTTACAGTGATTTCAGATAGATCCACTTTCTAGTTCAATTTTTTGTTTCATTAATTTTGATTTCTTTGTTTTTATATGGCCCGTTCGTTAGGAGAACACGTGATTCATTCAAAAAGAAGTTCGGAATGAAATGGTTCCGTCTTTGAACCTCAAGTGAAGTGGGGTTTTTACCTCCTCCATTCAGTCCCCTCCCCTGCTTCTTTTGAATTTTAATGCCATAACGTTTGGTTTTTTAGTTTTTAGTTTTCCGTTAATATGGCTTTTTGTATTTGATTTCGTCCTCGTCAATCACAGTTTTTGTTTTTGATTGTACACAACGTAATTTGTGTTAGAAACTAACAATGTGAGGGTTCGTGATAATCGAAACAGAAGCTTTTACTTGGTGTCTGATAATTTAAGATGAAATTTTCTTAATAGAAAAAAAAAGTGGTTTTTTTAGTTGCTCTTCGTTCATCGTTGCAGTTGCAATTGTAGTGGTCCTAGAAGCAAGCATTGTGTCAGTGTAAATGAAGGAATTTTGGAATTACATACTGATATGAAGAAGAACTGGTGCTGCTAAAGATGCATCAGCATATGCCCTCTTCCTCTACCAGTTGATAATGAGAAGCCATGGTTTCAGGGTCTTGTTTAGAAGCCTTGGCAAATTTAGTTGACATCCAACAATTTATTTTTTTTGTTATTGACTATATGACGTCTATTGCCAATTTTGGATTTTTTTTTAAATATAAAATGTTGGCATTTTAGTCAAAATCTATTGCAATTTATTATTTTATACAGCGGATGAAATCTGTAAATAAAAAATAAAGAAATGGATTTGTATTACATTGTCAAACATAATTATGATTCTCGGAATATAAGAAAATGTGTTAACAAACGTAATTCTGATTCTCAAAATAAAAATAAAATGTGTTAACAAACTTAATTATGATTCTCAGAACTCTTTCATGACACAAAATTAGAAAAAAATTGTTTTATCTTGGAATCAGTGCTTGAAATAAGATGATTGTCATGCACACCCTAAGTCTATAATTTTGGTTGTGCAAAGAATTAAAGCTTAGAATTAAAGTTATAATTTTAAATATTATACGATCAAGAACTTAAAAATAAATAGGTCAAAAAAAATTATTTGTCCTTTTTTTTGTTTACATAATCATTTGTACTTTTAAATAACACAACTTATGTCATTTTACTCTCATAAATATATGGGATTCTTTAAGATGACATACACTTTTTCCATAAAGAAAACTATCACAATGTATTTTATTTTATTTTTTGATAAAAAGCAAGAGAGGTACGTCTTTTATTGTTTTCATGTTGAGCACAATTTTAATTTCTATATGTGCAATTAGCAATTTTTTAAAATGGATCCTTTTATATGTTATTTAACATGATCATGTCATCTAATAGCATCTTAACTATTAATAATCAAATTAACGGTAATGATTATGATTATGTAACTTTCTCTTATATTTTTTTCTTTCTCTTCCTTTATCATAATTAATCCACTCTTGTATGGTTAAAATCATATCATGTTAGTTAACACATAACAGAATCTACTCCCCTAATTTTTAGGGTTCTGGTTGAAAATTGAAAATG